GGGGGGGGGGTCACAATTGTTCAAAAAGTCACGGTGGGGGGTGCTTTCTTCATGCCGTACCCTGGGTACCCTAGGGTCCTATTAAACAGTGCTCCAATTCACACGAGGCAAAATATATCTGTCGTGCGACATTCAGAGGATGATCGGTAGAATTTTCTTTTTCAACGTACCAAGTAAGGAATTTGTTAACGCCACACAAAGTAAATTCTATGGATGACGTATGCGCGCGCATTATTTTTGGCCTGTTCCTAAAAAAAAAAAATCTGCTTCCTGTAACTATGACCAAAGAGTCACGACAGTGCCACAAATCGTCTGATTGACGTGAAACCCGTAACGCGAAAACAGGACAGGACAACTGTTATTCCACCTGATTTATTGCTGTTTTGATGATGAATAAAAGACTTCTTGCTTGTTACACTGTGTCACCTCATTCAATTTGTGTCCTAACATTTCTTGTCTCTTAGTATATTTCTAATCTAGGCATAGTGTTTTTTAGGGCCCTTCTTGTTTTTTTGGGGGGCCTCTCGCATTAGATTAAGGGTCTCCAAAGGACGTCATCCATAAAGTTTACTTGGTGTGGCCTAAATGATAATTAGAATCAAGGGCGTTGAATCGACCTTTTAGCAACAGCAATATCAACGAAAAAACTCGATAGCCTATCAAACATATATGGTTCATTAGAAAAGACATCACAGGATACCAATGATTTGTCCTTTTCATCAAAACAAGGTAGGCGCTTTTCAATATTTTTTTTTAGTTCAGGTAAATATCCCTATTTGTGTGTTTAAGACTGGTCACCCGAGGTTAAGGATTGTAATGGTACCCCATAAAAAGATCAACGGTTGACACCTTTAGTTCGACACAATGGGGAAGTGTTGACATTACTTGGGTGTTTATGGGTGTACACAATACCCGCTCTCGTCAGCGTGTTGACTTAAGCTAGGAAATAAGACTATAAAGATCTTGATCCCAAACTAAGACAAACAACACGGATTTACTGGTTTGCTGAGATAACTGCATGCATGAGAATTCAGACAGGCAGACATGTCGGTGGGATCGGCGGTGCTACATGTAGGTCTCCTCTGCGTGGGTCTGGCAGCGGCCAGCCCGCTGGTGGGGCGGCTGAACCTGCCGTCCAAACAGCCGCACTGTTACGGGACGGTCATCGCGCCTCGGCTGCTGCTGACGGCTGCGGAATGTGCCTTCAACTCCGCCACGGGCAGACCCCATTCCAACCTGCAGTTCTCCCTCAGCACTGGGGCCAAAATCAAGGTAGGGCTCACTCTTACCTGCGGTTTTCCCTCAGAACTGGGGCCAAAATCAAAGTAGGGCTCACTCTTATCTGCAGTTTTCCTTCAGAACTGGGGCCAGCATCAAAGTAGGGCCCATTCCAACCTGCAGTTTTCCCTCAGCACTGGGGCCAAAATCTGCAAACTTCCTACAGCGTAAGATAGGGCTCACTGTAACCTGCAGTTTTCCTTCAGAACTGGGGCCAAAATCAAGGTAAGGCTCACTGTAACCTGCAAACTTCCTACAGCGTAAGGTAGGGCCCACTGTAACCTGCAGTTTTCCCTCAGCACTGGGGCCAAAATCGAGGTAGGGCTCACTACATGTATAACCTGCAAACTTCCTACTGCATAAGGTAGGGCCCACTGTAACCTGCAGTTTTCCCTCAGCACTGGGGCCAAAATCGAGGTAGGGCTCACTACATGTATAACCTGCAAACTTCCTACAGCGTAAGGTAGGGCTCACTGTAACCTGCAGTTTTCCTTCAGAACTGGGGCCAAAATTAAGATAGGGCTCACTGTAACCTGCAGTTTTCCTTCAGAACTGGGGCCAAAATCAAGGTAGGGCTCAATGTAATCTGCAAACTTCCTACAGCGTAAGGTAGGGCCCACTGTAACCTGCAGTTTTCCCTCAGCACTGGGGCCAAAATCAAGGTAAGGCTCACTGTAACTTGCAGTTTTCTCGAAGCACTGGAGCCAGCATCATGGTAGGGTTTTTACTGTAACCTGCAGATTTTCCACAGCGTAAGGTAGGACTCGCTCTTACCAAGGTGGTTTTCTTTTTGAACCTCATTACTCTAAATTGCAGTTTTCCGTCAGAACTGGGGCCAATATCAAGGCTTTATGGTAGGCCCCACTCTAACCTGCTGTTTTTACAACATCAAAAAGTCGGGCTCGTTGCAAGTTTTCCCACATCGTACGGTAGAGCTTACTCCAATCTACAGTTTTCCAACATCATAAGGTAAGGCTCTCTTCAACCTGCAGGTTTCCTTCAGCATACGGTAGGGCCAACTCTGAGGACTTGAATGTGTTTTTATATTGTGATGCTATACTTTATTCCGACATTAAAGGTACAAAGAGTTTGAATTTCCATCGGAAACTGTCGCTTTCATCCGGAAGAACAATGCCAAATTGCTTCCGAACTGATTTCGTGAATCCGACCGTTTTTTCAGGAGACGCAAAGGTGAGGTCAGCAATTGGTCAGACGTGCTATCGTCTCTGTTTTATGATTAGGCCACACCAAGTAAATTTTATGGATGACGTCCTTTGGAGACCCTAAATCTAATGCGAGAGAGCGAAGAAAAAACAAGAAGGGCCCTAAAAAACAAGATGGCTAGATTAGAAATATACTAAGAGACGACAAATGTTAGGACACAAATTGAATGAGGTGACACAGTATAACAAGCAAGAAGTCTTTTATTCATCATCAAAACAGCAATAAATCAGGTGGAACAGCAATTGTTGTCCTGTCCTGTTTTCGCGTTACGGGTTTCACGTCAATCTGACGATTTTCGGCACTGTCGTGACTCTTAGTCATAGTTACAGGAAGCGGAATTTCTTGTTTTTTTTTCTAGGAACAGGCCAAAATCAATGCGCGCGCGGACGTCATCCATAAAATTTACTTGGTGTGGCCTTACTGGAGTGCCCGGATATATATGGCCTATTTTATACCTTTTAGAAAGCGAACCATAAACCATAAAACGATTGTATTATATGGCAACAACAAGTAAATTTTATGGATGACAGCCTCCAAAGACTCCAAATATTAAAAAAGGCGGGCTGAAGAAAACAAGGTTCATACATTTTTTTTAAATTTTTACTCAATCATTCTACAAATTGTTTTTGTTCAGTGGGAACACCACATACACACATCCAGCATCACATATCACTGCATCAAAGTAAGAAACAAACCATTAAATCAGAGTCTTTTGTTGTCTCCTCTCTTCAAAGTTATCTGCCATCCACCTTCCATTATGGCAACTGGCATCTTTGCCCATTTTCGGCATGTTGACCACTCTCAGAAGGCAACACAATTTCTTTTTTTTTTAATCAGGCGAAAATTAATGCACGCGCTAAAGTCATCCATGGAAATTACTTGTCGTGGCCGAATTATTACCAACACACTCAGATTAACGGGGGGTGCCCTAATTCCGACCTATGTTCCATTCAAATGCACATACCTTTGGTAATAGTTTATCTGACCAAAACCCCGCGCAACATGAGCTATAATATTGACCGATTAAGATCACAACGATTAAACCTGCACAGCTGTTTATTTCACTTGAGTGTAGCGCCTTGCACCGAGGCGTAATGGTTCGCGAAACGCACGGCAGTAGTTTTTTTTGTCATTTTGCCGGTGGAACGTACTATCGCAACAGGGGTGCCCTAATTCCGACCCAGTGTTTAACACAGGGCGATCTTAGAAGAGAGCTTAGAAATTATAATACACAAATTCTGACTAAAACAATCTACTTTTCTGTCCCAAACAAGTCCTCTTTTTACGTTTACGCGACTTGCTCCAAAGTGGCTGTTTGAAAACAAAACCTGCATTTTTGATACGCTCGTCAACCCCCAAACAAGCGTCGAATTGGCACAGTTTTTCACTCGTCTGTTGTCGGAGTGTACAAACTAAAACTAACTTTGTGAGATTATCGATATCAACACAAAAACATTGTCCATTCATGTGGTTATTTTTAGGTACGTACTCCCATGCATAACGCCGCAACAAGGATTTTTCAAACTAGTTCGGTATTAGGGATGGGTCGGAATTAGGGCACCCCCCGTTTACCTCTGTGATAATATGTGATGCCGTATTTAAACGAAGCCAAGTCAAGAAGAAGATTTACTATACATGAGAGTTTCTGCAGCCGTTTGAAGAAATGTTTAGCATTAAACCAACATCGCTGTCATGAATAATTAATCTTATGTTTGTTCTTCTATTTTCCCAGATAACAAGAGTCCACATCTTCCCCGGCTGGCTGCGGAACAAGACGCCTTTGCTGAGTTTCGCCACCCTTAGCCTGGCGTCTCCCCTCCAGGTCCCGGAAACATCACTAATCTGGAGCCCCTTCTCCGTGGAGGAGAGCAATGTAAGCCCTGTCTGTTACTCCGTAGAGCAAAGATTAATTTTCAGTCCCGTAACTCCTCATATAACATTAAAGTAAGCCCTGTCTGTTACTCCATAGAGAGGAACAATATAAGTCCTGTAACTCCACAGGGAAGATCAATGTAAACATTGTAACTCTACTGAGAAGATCAATGTAAGCCCTGTAACTCCACAGGGAAGATCAATGTAAGACCTGTAACTCCCCAGGGAAGATCAATGGAAACCCTGTAACTCTACAGAGAAGATCAATGTAAACATTGTAACTCTACAGAGAAGATCAATGTAAGCCCTGTAACTCCACAGAGGATTTAAATGTAAGCCCTGAAAACTCCACAGAGGATTTAAATGTAAGCCCTGAAAACTTCACAGATGATTTAAATGTAAGCCATGTAACTCCACAGAGAAGATCAATGTACATGTAAGCCCTGTAACTCCACAGAGGATTTAAATGTAAGCCCTGTAACTCCACAGAGAAGATCAATGTAAGCCCTAACTCCACAGAGAAAATCAATGTAAGACCTGTAACTCCACAGAGATCAATGTAAGACCTGTAACTCCACAGAGAAGATCAATGTAAGTCCTGTAACGCCACAGAGAAGATCAATGTAAGCCCTGTAACGCCACAGAGAAGATCAATGTAAGCCCTGTAACGCCACAGAGAAGATCAATGTAAGCCCTGTAACTCCACAGAGAAGATCAATATAAGCCCTGTAACTCCACAGAGAAGATCGATGTACATGTACGCCCTGTAACTCCACAGAGAAGATCAATGTAAGCCCTGTAACTCCACAGAGAAGATCAATGTAAACCCTGTAACTCCACAGAGAAGATCAATGTACATGTACGCCCTGTAACTCCACAGAGAAGATCAATGTAAGCCCTGTAACTCCACAGAGAAGATCAATGTAAGCCCTGTAACTCCACAGAGAAGATCAATGTAAGCCCTGTAACTCCACAGAGAAGATCAATATAAGCCCTGTAACTCCACAGAGAAGATCAATGTACATGTACGCCCTGTAACTCCACAGAGGATATAAATGTAAGCCCTGTTAATCCAAAGAGGATTTAAAATTAATGTAAGCCCTGTAACTCCACTAACCATATCAATTCAAGCCCTCTAACTACACAAGGCAGATCAATATCAACTTTCAAAGACTCTCTGTGAGTGGAAATGGCAGCTATGGACCTATAGACTTGAGTGCAAATGTTTACGATTGTAATGTATATTGAGTTGCGACTGTAATGTATATTCTTATTGTGTGTTTTTGCATGTATATTGTGTATTTAATCCCAGAGATACATGAAAAACAGATCAAAAGACCTGAGTGTACTCCTCTGGTAAAATGAAATAAATGAAATGAAGTCAGCCCTGTAGCTCCACAGAGTATGTCAATTTAAGCCCTGTAAATTATAACTCTACAGAGCAGATAAACATAAACCCTGTATTCTTTGTAGTCTATCAATGTAAGCCATGTGACTCCTAAGAGCAGATAAAGGTAAGCCCTGTATCTCAGTAAAAGAGATCAATGTAAGCCCTGTGACTCATTAAAGCCTTGTCCCTCACTTAGCTAGCTATCTGGTTATCACATAACTCTGGTTAGCTCTGCTTAAAATGTTGGCGCACTTTGTTCTAAATATTAATGTGATTACCATACTTGGCGCATAGAACTAGCTTCACAATACCACAACATATAGGCAATCCTCTAATAATCAATTCACAGCTGGTTAGCCTCATGTCAAAAAGTGGAGTTCCAAGAGCTTTTCGGAAGAATAAATGTACAGATTCCCGACCCCCTTGGAGCAGATTAATGTAACTCTATTTACAATTGCAAGATCTTTGGGTTGAAGTTTGTTTGTTTAACCTTTTATGTTTTGCTAAATAAGTTTGCAATGTCAAGCAACATATTGACAACACAATGTCGTCCTTTTCCTATGACAATCTGGTTCATTTTTTTAGAAGGCACTTTTTTTTCTGGATTGCAGGTGTCCCTTAAGTATGCCTCTGGGAACATCAGATGCAGCAGTAAAGACCAGGATGAGAATAACATGGAGTACGCTGCGGACCAGCTGGCAGCTATGTCGTGTCCAGGGTCGCATCAACACCTCAAGATCCGAGGAAGCCCCGCTTACCAGGTGTGTGCTCTTTTGTTTGTATGTTTGGGTGAATGTTGTGTGTGTTATGTTTTGTTTGTGCGTAAAAAAGGTTTTGTTTGTTTTGCTCTGTTTGTACATAGTTGTTGTGTTATTTTTTGTTGGCGTGTGTTGTTTTGTTTCTTGGTTTATGTATTACTTTGATCTTGGATAGTTTTTGGTTGTGCGTATAGTCCTGTTTGTGTACATAATTTTGTTTTCGTGTATTAGCTGTGTCTAATGCATATATTCTAAAACAAGACTAAGGAAACACAAATACAGTTGTTCTTTAACCAAAGCTATACATAAATTTTGATTCAGAAACGCCGGAAACAACTACTAAAAGAGATAATGATCATCGTAATCATCAGCATAAAAGTTCATCTGAGTTGGTAAATTAAAGTATGAACAACTTGAACTGTTCTCCAACTCAAAATTTGACTCACCAGAAATTTTCGACTGAATCACTCAGCCTTCCTTAGCTATCTGATCCAAATGCTGTGGACACGTGATTTTTCCCACGTGCAAAAGGTCAAAGGTTGTCTGAAGTCGATATCGCCCCCCGTTCCGGTTGAGCGATGGTTGAAATGCCCTGATGTATACGGCCTCTTTTATGCCTCTCTTGGAATAATCCTGTTCGGTATCCAAGATTCTGACACCCTCCAGATCCACTGTGTGTCCCGGTGATTCTACGTGGATGTGCTGTGACACCTCAGATTCATTATTACGATCGTAATCATCGTAATAAGGAATCACCGTAAGATATGTCTGTCTCTTCCTAAGATATCTGGTGTGAACCGCTCAGCAGTAGTCTTTGGCGTGCATGTCGGCGAATGTTCCAGTGAATGGGGGCCTCTCGCTACGGTGCCACGCGGCCCTTGTGCAGCGAGGCTTAGCCACGAGATCTTCCGTGACATTTGTGATTTCGCCAAAAAAGAGAAACAGATCCTGCCTGAATGCAAAGACGCCCTTCAAAATGATGGTTAGTTCCCTGTTTATTAACTTATTGCGTATAGAGATAGACTGTCGAAGGTAGGATATGTTTAAGGTAAAATAAAACTAGAAAGGAAACATTTCCAAAGCAAATGCATAATATTTGCCTTCGCACATGGTCCGCCCTGTTGATTCTTACTCAAACACATTCATATATAAATGGTGACAGGAGTCTAAATCCTTCCTGCTACAAAGTTGCAACATTATGTAAACCAACACCAGTTACCACGGTGATAGACTGTCTTGGTCATGAAAAGGTCACTGTTTGGAGAAGAAGAAGAAGTAGAAGAAGAATTGAAACTGAGCAAACACAATATGTTTTCCTTTTGTAAACATATATAGTTTCAAAAATATAGTTAGACACTGCAAACAGCTAAGCTGGTAGTCCCTGTTTTGCCTTTGTAACAAGAACTGAGTTGAGCATGTTTTGCCTTTGACAAAAGAACACAGTCATCCATATGCATGTTGCGCCTTTGATACGAACCCAGTCGGCCATGATTTTGTTGTAGTTGATCCGAAGTCACCGACCAATCTGCTGAGCATGGCGGCTTACACGGCACTGGTGAACCGGGGACGGAGGTATGGTATCATCCTGCTGTTCTGTCGTGGCTGCAACATCGACTCTTGTGAAGAAGGTAAGGCAGATATGAAAAAGGTAAGACAGATATGAAAAAAGGTAAGACACTTGTGACGAACGTAAGACACTTGTGAAGAATGTGAGACACTTATGACTAAGGTAAGACACTTGTGAAGAAGGTAAGACACTTGTGAAGAAGGTAAGACACTTGTGAAGAATGTAAGACACTTGTGAAGAAGGTAAGACACTTGTGAAGAAGGTAAGACTCATGTGAAGAAGGTAAGACACCTGTGAAGAAGGTAAGACACTTGTGAAGAAGGTAAGACACTTGTGAAGAAGGTAAGGCACTTGTGAAGAAAGTAAGGCACTTGTGAAGAAAGTAAGGCTTGTGAACAAAAAGGCACTTGCGAACAAGGTAAGGCACTTGTTAACGGTAAGATCCTCGTGAATGCAGTATGACACTTGTAAACAAGTTAAAACACTACAACAAGATAAGACGCCAGTGAGCAAGGTAAGATGCTTATGGCCAATATAAGAATCGTGAACAAGGTAACTTAAGATAGATGTCCGTATTCAAAATACAATTTCCGAACGTCGTCCACAGAATACGGATGGTTTCAAGCCATTATATAAACGTCTTGATCTGAAACAACACGGCCTTCATTAGATTGTTGTTTTAATCCTGCTCTAAAAATGTCTGCTGTAGATTATTCAATTAACCTGTGGCAGTACATGGTTTCGTCCTACAAGTCTGGCATTACTCTATCGTTATTTCCATGTGGGGTCGTGTGGCGCAGTCGGTAGCGCGTTCGGCTCACACCCAAGAGGTCGAAACCTGCCCACGTCACCGATCTTGTGCCCTTTGGAAAGGCACTTAACACGACTTTCCTCACTTCACTCGGGTGGAAATGAGTACCTAGCTTCGGTTAGGGACGTCCCTCGGATAGGACGTTAAATGGAGGTCCAGTGTTTGGGGAGAGCCACACCCCAAGCACGTTAAAGAACCCACCGCACTTATCGAAAAGAGTAGGGGACCTCCCCAGTGTGAGTGGTTTAAACCTTACAGCCCGGTCTTACGCAGCTTGTACATATACGTACAAGTACAAAACTGGTGTTTTACGCCAAGAGGCGGTTTACCGGTTATGCGAAACAAACAAACAAAAAACAAATGGCGAATGTATTGCTTGTATTGCTTTATTCTCTTTGCCCCCACTTCGAATTTTCTCGGGCAGGACACGTTTTGCTACTGCTACGGAAGCACCTCCATGCTCAATCTTTTAGGAGAAAGTTATTTTTCCAAAACTACATCACTATGAAGCAACCTTCCTTATGAATGTTTTCCATATTGGTACAACCTTAAACTTAAAAGTTTAAGGTCAACAAGCATCTTTCTTCACAGTTCCTTGATATAGCCCCGAATATTAGTAGTTTTAATGAGCCGTGTTTTAAGGTTATTGATTAAAAGCAAATAAAAGAGCGACTCTCTCGCCCACCCCAGGCTGCCGAAGCTGCCGTCAGGAGTCCCTGGAGCGGTTTGACCGCCTGGCTCTCTACGTGCCGTTCTACCGAAGAGTTCTCGTGGCCAGGGTGGATGCGGATAGCCTGGGATTCAAGGTTTCTACTCACACTTCATCTGAATTTTTGTTCTGCCAGGGTCTTTACACCACGAGTTTGCGCCTTTTATGACTTTTCCCTCTCGCTTATAGCTATGTGATCACATTTAGTCTTATAAGTTAAATTGTTCATTTTGTATATTATTTTGTTCATAAGCATTGAGTTGCGAACCTCATCCCATTATCTACATTACTTCGTTACTCCATCCCATTATTTTGAAGCATTTTATTATTATGCCGCAATACACCGATTTTACTATAATTCTACTAATAATTAGTTTATACTTGAACTTTTATTATCTTACTTACGTGTTCTGTTTAATTTGTACGAAGAGAATTCAAAACCACATTCAGGGTGATATGTGAACCAGAGGTGAATAAATAAAATGAAACAAAATGGTTTTTGTTCTGCCAGGTTCCCTACGCCCCCTATATTCTGTACCGTCTTCCCGGCACACTGCAGTTCCGGGAACATCGCGCCTCGCTGACGCAGCTGGTGCAGCTTTTCCAGAAGGACAGGTTTGATAATAGCGCTGTAAAAACAGTACCGACAGGGGTTGACAAAGTGTTAGAACTTATATTAGAATCAATGTTTCTCCTCTCCAAATTTTTAACACCAAGACCAACTTTATAGGGTGTTTTTTTTAAGATTTAGTACACTTTTATAGCTAAAAAAAAGTAACTCATGACAAGCAACTGGACATGATTTTGGAAACGACCAGACGTTTCAGGTAGCGCTAGGTATAGCGTCGTAATCTTTCGTCATTGACACTGGAGAATTATCAGAAAAACAGGTTTATAAGCACGAAATATTGATTAATAAGCGGTGAGGCCAAATAGTCTGAGCGTTTCCAAAAACAAATCTATTTACTTGAGTAACTGTTTTCTGCGTATCTTATTACCTGAAGCTGAATGTCTAGCCTACAACGACATGTACCTTTGTTTATTTGGTTTGCCTTAGATATAAATTCCTCCAAATCGAATGCTTTTGTTTTTACAGAAATGTAAGATGCCGGACATTCTCTTCATTTCCTATCTGTGATCGTTCAGGCCGAGCTATGCCTAGCATCAGGATGAAGTGGCAGAAGTTATATTATAAATATATGGTGTTCGAAGTTGTCAGAAGTTACAATCTAAAGTTTTCTTAAGGGAATTACCTGTAACGTAATGTAACTTTTGACAGCTGCCGGGGTACTACGGTTTTTGTTAGAAGTTCTTTGAAGTTACACGGTGACATCAAACTGACGACAGTGGCCAGGTTAGGGTAAAGTTTTCTGAAGTTACTTGACGAAATTTAACTTCTAACGGTCACCTTGCGTCAGCAGTTGTTTGAATTCGAAGTTGGGTTGAATTTTAGCTTCTAACAACTTCTGCCAAATACTGGATAAGTGTCTGATGTGAGGTTAACTTCCACAACTCCTGCCACCTACCGATCGCCCGAAGTTAGGATGAATACTAGAGAAGTAACATTTGCAAAGCAAATGCATAATGTTTACCTTCGGACATTACGTAACCCAACACCAGTCACCATGGTGACAGACGTCAACAAATTATGCCATTGGCCAGGTCAGAGGTTAGCGTTTGGAACAGAAGAAGAGGAGAAAGAAACTTATGTTTACCTTAGGTAAACATAATAATCTGCATGTATCTACAAACTCATCTCGTATATATATTTTTTTTTTGTTTTCAACACAGCTCCGGGGGCAGTGGCACGTCACGAAGTACGTAACTATACATGTTTCTTGTCTTCATCTTTAATTCTTCTTTAATTCCGACATGGTGAATATTTCACAAATTACACTAAACCATGATATATTTTCCATTAGGACGGAACAAGCGGATGTTGTCTGGATGGGTGGAGGGTGCACTCCGGGCCTGTTGGAGCGTCGTGGCGGCCATAGGACAGAGGTTGCCGTTTGTAGGGCAGCGGTACGAAATAGGTGAGTAACTGAGTGGTATTCAGAAACATTTCCCGTAAGCTTCCTTTCTGGGTAGTATTTTTCTCTGTAACATTTCGTCCATGTAACATGGACTGTATTTAAAGGTTAGCCTTCCCTTCCAGGTAATGTTTTCTCTATGAGGTTACTACATGTAACTAGCACGAAACTTAAGGCAGATCAAACTGCTTCAATTCCTCGATGTAAACTTTCATTAAGAATTTGCTCACGCCATAACAATTTTGTTCACTGTCTTTTCAGTTGCAGAAGACCCTGAAGAAGGTTAGTTGTAGATTTCATTTGAAACACAACTATCAATAACCAACAGATTATTGTTGATTACAAGATGTTTAATGCCCACGCAATCTTTGTTAACCAAAAGATTAATTTTCATACCAGAAATCTGCCATGACTTAACGCGCTTTGACAAATCTAGAAAAGTAGTCAGTCCAGATGTCAGCCACACATGACTAAAGACTATTTCCAACTCTTCCGAAGTCTCTTGATTGAGCTCCGCACTTTTTTAGGGTGCAAAGTGGCTGACAGCCAGCTGCAGAGGCTAAATGGACAGCTGATCAACAGAGACACGAGCCAGGCGGTGGTGGCCGGGGAGGACATGCCGGTCGGTACGGTGCTGGAGGCTACCTGTAACCCCGGATTGGGTATAATGGCGCAGTACCCCGTACAGAACCGGCTGAGCCTTACGTGTGAGGCAAACGGCAGGTTCCAACCGCCTGTACCACAATGCTCACGTAAGTACTGACAAACTACTGCCACGATTCTTACGTAAGTACTGACAAACTACTGCCACGATTCTTACGTAAGTACTGACAAACTACTGCCACGATTCTTACGTAAGTGCTGACAAACTACCGCCGCGATTCTCACGTAAGTACTGACAAACAACTACCGCCACGATTCTCACGTAAGTACTGACAAACTACTGCCACGATTCTTACGTAAATACTGACAAACTACTGCCACGATTCTCACGCAAGTACTGACAAACTACTGCCACGATTCTTACGTAAGTACTGACAAACTACTGCCACGATTCTTACGTAAGTACTGACAAACTACTGCCACTATTCTCACATAAGTACTGATAAACTACTGCCACGATTCTCACACAAGTACTGACAAACTACTGCCACGATTCTTACGTAAGTACTGACAAACTCCTGCCACGATTCTCACGTAAGTACTGATAAACTACTGCCACGATTCTCGCGTTTACAAGTACTGACAAATTACTACCACGATTTTTAATAAGTACTTACAAACTACTGACACGATGTTTACGTAACTACTGACAAATCACTGCCACGATTCTCACGTACCAAAATACCAAAAAAACTGCTGTCACAATACTGACGTATGACGGTAAGTATGACAAACTACTGCTCACGCAAGTATCGGAAAACTACTGCCACAATGCTCACGTCATTACTGACAAACTACTGCCCTGTAAGTACCGACAAAGGACTGCCACAATACCTGCGTACCGCCGTAATACATGTACCTGCGTTAGTAATTATACTCCTATATATAAGACTCATGTAAGTACAAACTTCACATGCTCTGCCCTAATGCTCTCGTAAATACCGACAAACTAAAGCCGCATTGCTCCCGTAATGACTGACAAACTACTGCAACACTACTCACGTAATGACTGACAAACTACTGCAACACTACTCACGTAATGACTGGCAAACTACTGCAACACTACTCACGTAATGACTGACAAACTACTGCAACACTACTCACGTAATGAGTGACAAATTACTGCAACACTACTCACGTAATGACTGGCAAACTACTGCAACACTACTCACGTAATGACTGACAAACCAAACTACAGCCGCATTGCTCCCGTAACTACCAACAAACCAGTCAGTTTTATTTCAATAACCTGCAAACAGGTGTAAGAATTCCACTTGTCTTAATTACTAGCTGGTGTACAAATGTCTTACTTTAGGGACTTCCAAGTTGGTTTAAGATTTTACACGTGTCTTACTTGAGGAATCTCAAGCCAGCACGTCTTACTCTAGAAACTTGAAGATTTAACACATCTTACTCTGGGAACCTTCAAGCTGGTGTAATATTTCAGACACGTCTTACTCTAGGTACCTGCAAGCTGCTGTAAGATTTCACACATGTCTTACTTTAGGGACCTGCAAGCTGGTGTAAGATTTCACACATGTCTTACTTTAGGGACCTGCAAGCTGATGTAAGATTTCACACATGTCTTACTTTAGGGACCTGCAAGCTGCAAGATTTTCCATGTTATAGCTTAGGGACCTGCAGGCCGGTATAAAATTCACGACATGTATCACTGCAACAGTAACCTGGTGTAACTCTTTTCACATGTTTTACCCATGGAAACTACAACTAAGCCGATGTGAAATATAAAGAAATCTGTTAATTTAGGGACCTGCAAGCTTGTGTCGGATGTGAAACGGAACAACTTTCTGAGGTTTCCTGACATGCAGATTCAGTTCACGCCACGCCCGGGTGCTCTGCAGGAGACTTACCAACCTCCGACTTTCAATAATGCCAAGGAGACCACAGAAATGCTACAGGGGGATACTGTCACGTTCACTTGTCCGGAGAATGGCATTCTCAGGTGACAGGCACTTTCTCTTTTAGGAGACAATGGAATTCTCAAATGTCAGTCACTATTAATTGTCTTCAGAATAGAAGTGTTACATTATTAGCCATTTGCAGTGTCTGTAGTGATTTTTTAAAACTCCCTGCCGGCAATATGTATGTTTGTCTAGTAAGCGGCCATTGCCATTTTAAACGGGCGATGCCATATCGCCGGACGGTAAACTGATTACAACGCTCCGTCCATATCGTGATGCTTCGTGGCGTATAGAATTTGGGTTCGAATCCGAGCTTGTGCTCTTTCTTTTCTTTACATAAATCATTATTATTTTCATGATGCTGTCGTATATTTGCAATCGAAATGTTGCTTTTTGTAAACACGTTTCAATGTTTTTGTCCCTCAAATAAGTTATGCCGCGCTCAGATATGGCATCATCCAGTCAATTATACGGTAACGACCGTTTCAAATAGCAACGACAAAATTTACAAATGTAAACGCGCGTCGGCTATGTGTTTTTCCTCCTTTTTAGTCCTCTGTGTATAGTGGACGGATGGACCCATAAATTGAGAGCTGTTGTAGTTCTAATAAGAAATTCTCTATTCAATTGGTTACATTTTTTTCTGCGTGTGGATTACTCTCCAGGGGCCTTGGAACACGTACAACTACCTGGAAATGCAACAGAGGCTCGCAGAAGACTGTGGTCCAGTGTGAAGGTAGGTTTTGTTTTGGGTATTCGGACTTAGCTGCCCTGCCCGGTCCACCTAAACCGCTGCCTGGTCCGGTCCGAGGCCGCTAATGGGGGTTTTGCGTATCCCATGCGCCGGAGCAAGCATTTCGCTTTTTCTGCGTGCGGTTGCGCCCCCTAGCGCCCCCTAGCGGAAAGCACCGGAAATGCAACAGTACACACAGTTCACCCAATAAAATCTACTCCTTGTCAGCATCAAGTGCGTCCCAATTATGTGTTTTTTTTTCACCAACTATTTACCCACTGATATTTCCACTGCAGAGTACTTAGTATGTCAATATGAGTTTGCCTTGAGAAGGATATTTACTTCCATTTAACAAAACAATTTTAGCATTTAGCAAAATTGCTCCACTTTCCAAGCAGAGATTTGTTTCTGGGGAAGATCGTCATATTTTTATAACTTTTATATACATATGTGCTAAAGAATAACAGGGTACATAAAACCTAAACACAGATGATCATTATTTGCGTTTGAGTGAGTAACGTTACTACCGCCCAAGACGGTCATACGGCCTACTGCGATACGGCATGCCCGACAGTTATGAAATGCATATAGAAAATAACCCTGCATGGTGATCAAAGGGGTACCGACTGTGGAGTTATCATGCAAATCTTTCAATGCCATAGCTGTAGATGCCTAGGCCAATTCTAATTCATAAGCGTCAGTCCGCCTTTACAATAAATCAAGGTTATAATCAAGAAAGACACAAAGAACTGCGAAACGATTTGAAGAAAATCGGTGAACTGAACAAAAGAAATACATAAGCAAAAAATTAGCGACCTTACGCTAACGTATTCAAACATGTATTTCAATGCCGACATGCTGATTGAGTCGCCACAGCAGGATAGAAAAAAGCGACACATATATCGATGCTATTCATCGCTGAACTGTTTATTGTATTTTGAATAATGGAGTATCAATATCCGAGCATACTATTTGACAGACAAGAGGCAAAAATGTGTTGTTATTCGAGCCATATACGTTGGTATGTAACCTTTTTAGCCTTATTGGTGCCTAGGTATGAAAACCCGCCCCAGAAGTCCGTCGCTGCAAGGTCGTGTACTAGTGTGGGTCATCATCTGACAAGGCCCTTCCCGGAGACAGGTTGCCATGCGGCCTGGCGGTTGCTATGCCATGACTGACAGCGGTGTGTCTTTGATTTCCTCATAGTTCTTCCAGTGGGCGTGGTCAATTCTCACTACGCATTGTTTGTTGTTTTTCATGCCTCCGTTCACGTGTGTTTCATATACGCGGGAAAATGGCGTGTAGAACGCCGAGGAAGGAGTGTATTGAAATTTTTCTCTCCACCGAACTTCCCCAAAATATCTGTGGGAAAGACTGCGACGTTAACTCTTGTATACATAGGAGGAACATTCTTGCAGGTCTTACCAGTGCTGGCTTCAAGCCATTGAACGTTTAATGTGGGGCAAGGAGGTTTAAAACCACTTTGAGTGGGGCGCCTCTTTGAGCGCCGGCGACAAGAGCTTGAACATGTACACCTCAAGGAAATCCAAGCTTGGTGGCGCGCTGTGTTAAAAAAGGCCGCAAGTTAGATAGACAGAGATATACTTTAATAAAACATAAATCTGAAAGGCTTGAAAGACTGCAATAATATCAAACACGGTTATATTGCAACAAGAATCTTAACCTCACGTTATCTTAGTTATGTAAAAAAATATGGACTTCAAAGTTACTAGTATGCAGTGAATATATAAGCAATTTTCTTAGCCATTCATAGCATCTAACCACACATTCGAAGAAGTTACCAATTAATTATATTTTAACACTACAAAATCTAAGGCAATTTAAAAAAGAAACTTACAATAAATATGAAATCAATGGATTTTTATTTACAATGTTGCCGAAAAAATACATTTTCCGTGCACTTGCTATATCGTTTTAACGAGTTGTAATATCCACGACATATGGATGCCATCTTTCTGACCTTTGCCCTTTGTTTTCCAATAAGGACCGTCAACGCGTCGCCATTTCGAGAGTGTTTCTAGCTGTTTTTAACATTTTACGGCCTCAAAGCTCATACCACAAGGGAAAGAATGTTATGCTTGTCATTTTCATCTGTATCACTTCTTCTGGCAACGAATCATTTTCCCGCCGCACTGCCGATACTAGCGTGCACGTGTTTTTTATTTTTTATTTGGTGATCGTCCCGCTTTGCTTGACGATGTAAACAGAGCTAGAGGTAGTCGAAGTTATTTACATTACATGAAAATTGCGTTGTAAAACACCAGTGGGATGTCTGATTTTCTACCATTGACAATGTTTTTTGACAATCGACAATTCATCGACTGTGCAGACAATAGGGACCAATTTATTAATAGCAGCTCAATCGATCCACGCCGCTCGGCCGAAGAAAAAGCGAATGACTAGCAAATCTACCGGGGAAATATGGGAGTTAATTCCCTAATTTGGAAAGTTGGTGGCGCTGAGATAAGGACTGGGTGGCGCAGCGCCACTTCCCCATCGTGGAGGTCCCTGCAGCGCGCGGGGTATGTTTTTAATTATTACCACCAATAGTCTTACAAGCAATGCAAAAAGAATTATACATTTATACCACGTGGCACTGAGGTAAATATAATTATACGGGTTCAAAATTGTAATTGCAAATAGTTGGTGAAACAAAAACATAATTGGGACGCACTTGATGCTGACAAGGAGTAGATTTTATTGTGTGTACTGTTGCATTTCCGGTGCTTTCCACTAGGGGGCGCAACCGCACTCAGAAAAAGAGAAATGCTTGGATACGCAAAACCCCCATTAGCGGCCTCGGACCGGACCGGGCAGCGGTTTAGGTGGACCGGGCAGGGCAGCTAAGTCCGAATACCCGTTTTGTTTTATGTGCGTCTGGTTGGATCTGTGAAGGCTGGCTCTCCTGTGAGTGAGTGAGTGAGTGAGTGAGTGAGTGAGTGAGTGAGTGAGTGAGTGAGTGAGTGAGTGAGTGAGTGAGTGAGTGAGAGTGAGTGAGTGATTGAGTGACTGGGTAAGTTTAAATTATGCACGCCCCACGAACGTTAAATGTTCTCCCCGTGTTCCAGCTGCCCCACGCCTATGTGAGAAAATACGTAACTGAATGGATAGATTTTTTTCATGTGCTCCAGCCGCCCAAGTGCCTGTGAGAGAAGAGTGACTAAATGGATGAGTTTTAATTTTTCCATGCCTGTGTTGTAGCCGTCCTAGGCCCATGTGAGTGAAAAAGTGACTGAATCGATGAATTTGAATATTTTCAATGTGCTCCAGTCAGCCTAGGCCCATGTAAGTGGATAGACGATTGAGTTTTAATGTTTTACCTGTGTTTCCCAGCCGCCCCACGCCCCTGTGACGCCCCAAACATCCCCCATGCCGACACATCGCCGCCAGGTCAAATCCCGCACAACAGTCGCGTCACAGTCAGTTGCCGTGGCAACAGACGGCTGTGGGACAGTGACTTTCACAGTTCAATCGATTTGATTTGCAAGGATGGCAGTCTGGACCCGAAAGCAGACACGTTGGAATGCAGAGGTCTGTAATGTTGTTCAATGCATTTCTTATGCAATACTTACCAAGTTTTACTTCAACAGCGCACAGGGCCTTACTCTGCCCAGTACCAGGGTAAACCCGTGTGAAGTTAAATCAGGTTACATGTGACGTGTCTTTTATTAACTCTGTACCTTAATCTTATCGGAAGTCGACGTCACTTAAAACATTTAAAACAAACCTAGAAGCTTGTCGGCTGACATAAACAATAAGTTAACCTTGCAGTCAGGGGTGACGTAATTCAAATATAATGTGACGTACCCCGCACTGAGAGAAAGTACGATGTACGACGTTAGCTACTTATTGACGTAATCTTATCATCTTGTGTTATCGCTAAAATGTTACAATCTAATAACAGTAACCTGTGACATTAGCCCCGCATCCTACAGGTGTTATCGCTGAAATGTCAATATTCGTAGCGTAAAATCTCATGAGATATCAAAACCTTTCCTGCAGCTGTTTTTGAGAATATTTTAAAATCCGATCCACAGAAACCTGTGATGTCAACCCACCTCCCATTGCTGATAAGAAACTCCAGGAATCTCCAATCTTTAAACTGCAGACGGGTCCAGGCACGTCCCGAAGGCTGAGACCGCCAGCACGGGTGTGGATAGGCAACCAGGTAGGACATGGCATGGGACTTATGCTTGGACTTTAATTTTATGAGATGGCCGAGATATGGTGAACTGGTTCATGTTTAACCCTCAAACCACCGTAAGTTTTTTTCGCGACAAATCTGACCGTATGGGGTCAAAACTGTCCCATTCAATTTTTTGCACAAATTGAGTTTTTTGTTACTCTTCTTTGTGAGTTTTATACATGAATGGTTTCATTAATCTATGAGGGACAATTTGATCTGGTTACGTCTGCTCATTATCATAATTTATTAACCTTACACAAGATGTCTACAGGCAGCCATGCCAATGACCTTTGATTCCAAGTCCATGGGCAACTAGGTCTATGGTCACATTTCGAGTTTTCTGATTCAATATGTTGAGGTCATTCTGTAGCAATGTGTTTAGTAGACCAATGGCAGCAGAAAACTCAAGCAAACACATTACATCAAAGAAATATTGATAATAAAAACGGATTCACGAGTGCTAAAAATGCTGGGGTCAGTTTTGACCCCTCTGGATCGCGCATAAACTCTCTATGATAACTCAATCAACAATGTTCCAATCGAAGTAAAACGTATGGCTTATAAGACATATATGCAAACAAACTCGAAGAAGAAATTCTGTTTTCGGCAAGAAATGTCAAAATGGAACTCATCTTTTTACGCCTGGGGTCAGTTTTTGCACCAGACGGTGGTATGATGGTTAAGGTTTAAGCAAGTATGTCCGTGTATATGTACGGTCCCAATCTTTGAACAAGTCAGCTGGTATACGTACGTACTGTACACTATTGTATACACCTTCTGTCCAAGGTGATCATCAATCAGTTTTACAGGCACGCCACAACAGACAGGTAGGAATGGCTAGCAACTTATTCTTGGACTGTTAAGTGGTCATATCTATGCCGGTTGCTGCAGCTGTTTAGGTTTAGAATTAGAATTAGTAAAAATGTACTTACAACAAGGGACTGCAGTCAGGAACAGGTCCTTTGATGGTTTAGTTGTTGGTGTTATTGACTTTGTTGTTTATGTGCTGTGCGAAGATACTGGCAGTAAAGAAAAAGGTCCTGTTGTTGTTGGTTCAGTTGTTGTCTATTTTATTCAGGTGCTGTATGAATGTTCCGACAGTGAGTGGCGGCTGGATGGAACAAAC